TATTAAACATGAACAGTCTCACAAGGAGATTATATGTGTCCTCAGGTCAACAGAGAGTGTGGGTAGATGTGTTGGTAAGAAAGAGGTACGAGGTCCCTGATCTGTGCTCTGAGGGGTGGTCAGTCAGGCAGGGCCTGGGCCAACCAGTAAGGCAGATGAGGGTCCCTGTCTGAAAGACTCACTGCTCCTGGGTGCCCCAGGAGATGTAGTCTGGTCTTGTGGCTGCATGGTACTCATCGATGAGCTGCTGCACAATCTCCCTGGATGTGTCCAGTTCATCAAAGTTCTCCTTGAAGATGTCCTCCTTGCGGAACTGCTCCAGGAAGGCCTCCCGCTTCCGCAGCTTGTCGTACTGGCGACAGGTCCGCTCGAAGAGCTTTGGGTGTACAAAAAGGACTTAGGTTGGACAGGGGTCACGGGGAACTTCAGGGAACCATGTGGCCCAGAGAACCAGGAATCAAGGCTGGGCTATCCCCACAGTAAAAAAGCCAGAAGCAGGGGCAGCAGGGCTGTAAAGAGATGAGGCACCACCAGGGAGATGACTGTGGGGCTCACCGAGGAGATGCTGGTGTGGTTGGCCATCATGAGCCCACTGACCCTGTGGGCAGAAGGCAGGTAGGGCGACTTCCTAGACAGGGCCACCTGGATGCTGGCGGGGCCCCAGGGGATGAAGTTGGCCAGTTTCCGTTCCCGGATCCTCTGCAAGCTCTTGTGGACCTGGGGTGGGCACAGGAATGGTGGTGGTAGCCTCTCCTCTTCCCCAGAGGTAGAATGAAGGGGCCTCACCTACCTGGGTGGGGTCCACCTCCCCCTGGATGATGTTGAGGATGGCGATGTAGCAGTGGTTGGTCTGGCGATCCCGACCTGTGGACACCATCACGTTCTTGGGCTGCAGCAGTCGCCTCATGACATCCAGGACTGTGGTCTTTCTCACGCTGGCCACCTGAGGGGAGAGGGGCCACAGGGCAGCCCGGTACTCAGGGCACAGTCAAGAGACGCATGGACAGAGAGCACGAGGTGATGCACAGCCCCGCATGGACAGAGAGCACGAGGTGATGCACAGCCCCATCAGACGCAGGGCAGCCTGGTCTCTCTGGGGAGTGTCCTTAGATTCAGGTCCTCACTGAGGGATCAGAGATCTCAGTCCCCCAGAGCTCAGCTAACTCATGTCCTTGTGCAGGAGCATCAGCAGACCCCGTACAGCCCCGGCCCTGCAGGGCGCCACAGGCAGGGGGAGAGGAGAGCCAGTCAGCCAGGAAGCAGGGCCTCCGGGTGCAGCCGAGAGAAGGGAAAGGCTGGTCAGGGCCTGCTGGGCCCGAGGGCTGCTCTTACCGACTGGTCCGTGGTGAGGGGGGTGTAACCCGTCATGAGGAAGTGGAGCCGTGGCGTGGGAATGAGCGAGGCGATGAGGCCGATGAGGTCGTTGTTCATGTAGCCGGGGTAGCGCAGGGTGGTGGTGCTGGCTGACATGATGGTGGACACCTGGGGACAGGGTGCTGGGTCACGGGCCTTGTCCTGGGGGCCTCCCTTCCCTAGATGGTGCTTCGGGAAGGAGGGAGTCCAGGAGTGGGGGGCTCACCAGCTGGTTGATCTGGGAGAACGAGGGATTCTGAATGTGCAGGCGGTCTGTGGCGATCCGGTTCAGGGCCGTGTTGTCCAGCACCACCTGGGGGGACAGAAGAGGGTGACAGATTTAGGAGGACAGAAAGGACAGGAGCTCTGCCTGGTGCTTCATAGCCAGAAAGACCCATCCAGAAGACTTGAACAAGACTGGGGCACAGGAAGGTTCAAGACGGGACTTTTAAAAATGAATGAAAAGGACGAAATAGACAGGGGGGTTGGGAGTGGAGTAAGCGAGACTCCAGGACTTACCACACAGTCGGCGTTCTGGGTCAGCCTCTTGAGTGTGAGCAGTGAGTTGTAGGGCTGGACCACCACATCGCTCATCTCATCCTGGTTGGGAAACACTGAGTATGTCTGCACCAGCTTCTTGGGGTACCTGGGAGTGTTTGAGAAAGGATGGTCAAGGGCAACAGACTGAAGGCTTGGTAAACTTGGGGTTTCTAATGACTGTCAGGATGGGGAAAGTGGGGTTCGGGTCATAGGACAGCAGAGAAGGGAGACTTGACTTTTGGCAGCCTGTAACCCAAAAGGGGGCTAGGGCAGAGAAACATCTTAGGACCTAGGGTTCTAACTCCATATCAGGCTTACTCCCTGAATCTTCATCAAAGATCAGGATTCTAGACTCTGATTCCAACCACTGGGAGTGTGCTTGGGTTCCTGGTTATTGTACCTTTCCTTCCTCAATACAGCAGGGAACAGAAGGGCCCTTTCCTGCTCCAGTGAATCGGAAGGTTTTATCTGGAGGGCCTCCCAGTCACCTGGGAAACCAAATCCTCTCAGCCTTTCAAAACAGACTTACCTGTCGTTGAGCCGTTCTAAGAGGTAGGAGCCCAGGCCAGAGCCTGTTCCCCCAGCGATGGAGTGACACAGCACGAAGCCCTGCATGGGGAAGGGGCGGTCAGTGTCTAGGTTTCAAGTGGCAGGATTTCCAATTTTACCCATCTCATAACTTCTTGGACTCCTATCTTCCCAGGACCTCTCTTCCACTGCCCTCCCCCCACCCCCCATTCACAGATTAGGAGACTCTTCGTTGTTTCCAGCAGGGCCCTGTGGCTTCTGTCCAGTGCAAAGGTTACAGGGGGAGGGTCCCACACCTAACAGACGGCTTCTAAAGGGTGTTGTCGAGCCTTCCCCATGCTGGCCTCCCACCGGCATTCCTGAGATGTTCACCTCTAGGCTGTCGCTGCCATCTGCCTCCCGGTCTATGATGTCAAAAATGTCCTCATGGATCTTCTCTCCCTGTACAGACATGGAGGGGCATCAGAGTGGGACAGGACTGAGGGACAAGGACTTTGACCTCAGAATAGCCACCCTCCATTCTCCTTATAGTACCTAAAAGTCCTTTTTTGGAACACAGTGGTCCTGCTTTTTGTTTGTACTGAGAGGTAGTACAGCCTAGTGGTTATGAGCATGCCCGCTACATCCAGACTGCCTGAATGCCTCTATTAGCTCTAGTTCTAGTTAGTCGGGTGACTCTGGGCATGCTACTTCATCTCTCTGTACCTCAGTTTCCTCCTCTGTATAATGAAGGTACTAATGCAGGTCCACAGTCCCTTAACTAAAATTCTTGGGCATTATGTTTCAGAGTTCAGATATTTCAGATTCTAGGAGGGCTATGATGGTGTGTATAACACAAGAACACCAGTGGGGCGGGGGTCTGAGGGGCGCTAACCAAATACATGAATATTTCTGCAGTGAAAGGAATGAGAAGTGGCAGTCAGTTGAACAGAAACTACAAACTAGCCTATCTTTATTGAGATTGGTTTTGCTGCTAAATGAGTAGTTAAAAATCCTCTTTGGGTTTCAGAGTTTTTTGGATTCTGGAAACCTACAGACACTGTGGACCTGTAGTACCTACCTCTAGGATTGTTGGAAGGTCTGGGTAAGTTAATTTATGTAAAACACTAACTATGGTCTGGCACCCGGCATGAGCCAAGTGCAGTCTCTTATGACTATTACATAGTTCGCTCAGAATCTCCTCAGTCACATCTCTCTCTCTCTCTCTCTCCACTCATATATCCTCCATCTGGTTTATCTTCTCTTTAGGAAGTCATAGGGCCAGTCCCCACTTAGGAGTGGAGTTCTGCCAGGGAACAGCAAATGACCTGGGAGAATCCGCTGGCCCAGTTGTTGCCAGCTCCTCCTCCATGCTCCGACAGGTAGATGTTCTCTGGGTTGTAGAGCTTGGCATAGGGGGAGTTGAGGATGGAGTGGATCACCCTGGGCTCCAGGTCCAGCAGCACTGCCCTTGGGATGTAGTGCTCATCGTCGGCCTGTAAAGGGGAGTTTACGAGGGGCCCAATCAGCTAGGACCTGCCCAGTCCTCCAGTCCTCCCAACCCTGGTTCCTGCCTCCCTCCCTCTTCAAGCCAGCCTCCCTGGCTCCTCTGTCCAGTGGGCTTCCCCGTAGCAAGCCACTGCCCTTCCCTTCAGAACCCCTGGGCCACTATCGGCCCTGGCTAAGTCGCTGGGGGCACCTGGTAGAAAAAGACGTCCTTGCGATCAGTGCCCTCGGTGGCGAACTCCTCCACGATGCCCTCGGGGCTGATACCATGCTCGGCGCACAGCTGTTTCCAGAACTCGAACCCAACTGACGGGAGGGACGCGGGCGGGAAGAAAGAGGATATCTGGGTCTGGGCAGGTTCCAACTAGGAGCTGGGGGACTCAATGCCTGGGTCCAGTGATAGGAAGTCAAGCTTCGGGAGTCTCCCGTGTCAGAGGAAAGGGCAGTATATCAGCGACTGGGCAGAGGAGGGCCCCTTGGGGTTGAGCAACTGGATACTGGGTCAGGCATGTCCCACCTTTCGGAGAACTACGATTCTGGGGGCAGATGGAGTTCAGGATCCCACAGCGAGATCCCATAGAACCTAAGAAACCCTGGCTAGTGGAGGGGCCGGAAGTTCGCTCACTCTGATTGCCGCACTGGCCCAACTGTAGGGTGATGATCTCCCTCGGCATCTCTCCTCTGGCAGCTGCGTTGCAGCCACTCTCTACGGCAAAGCTACCGCTCTCGCCACAGAAAAGCTGCCGCTCCCGCCAGCAAAGCCGCCGCTCGCTAGCCCGTCGCACTGCGCATACGCCAAAACTCGCCCCGCCCACAAACTTCCTCTGTTCCAATGAAAACTGAGTTCTGGCGAGGGCACTTCCTTACTCGTTCGGCTTCAGTCCTGCAGACTACGCGTGCGCAGCTTCTGATTGGGGCGCCGGGGACGTAATTTTGACGCAGTGTTCTTCGTTCTGGGTTGTACGCGACCGAGAGCCTTCGCGCAGGCGCGCTGTGGAGGGATGCGGCCTCCCTCGGTGTTTCGCGCATCTGCGCAGTTGGTATTATTGTGATTGTCGGGCCGTGGCCCCGGATGTTGTGGCTGCCGTGGGGAGATGGCGGAGGCAGAGGGGGTGGCCGAGGCCCCAGGCCCAGCCTCGGGTCAGATTTTCAAGGGTCGCCGCTCTATGTCTGGCTCCTGGGAGCGGGACCAGCAGGTTGAGGCGGCGCAGCGGGCCCTGGTGGAGGTGCTGGGGCCTTACGAGCCTCTGCTGAGCCGAGTGCAGGCAGCCCTGGTGTGGGAGCGGCCAGCCAGGAGCGCCCTGTGGTGCCTGGGGCTGAACGCGGCTTTCTGGTGAGAGAACTGGATCCTCGGAAACCCTCTGAGGCGCGAATTCGTCAGGTTTTCTAAGGCTCTATCTCTCGCCTCCTTTGTTTCCTTCGCTGCACTGTCTCCTACCTGTACCTGCCTAATTTTGCCTCACCTCCTTCCACTCTTTCCCGCCTGAAGCTTTGGCACCGCAGTTCTTAGGGCCTTCCAGTTGTTTCCCCTGCTTTACGTGCACCCTCGCCCCTCACATCTGGCAGAAGTTTCTAGTAACATCTTGAGCCGCTCACAGTGAGCGAAGGCGCCTCATGTTAGCCAAGGGAAGCTGTGTCCCGTTAAGGCCATCACCTCCCTTCTCTTGTCTGCTCAACAGTCTCGAGATCTTAGTGCTTATTGTTGGGGTAGGTGAGTAAGGCGTGAGATCTTGAAAAGGGATCCATAGGTGTAATAAGGAAACAGGGTTAAACGACCTGAATTAGCATGTTAGATAGACATCCTTTTGCCCACTCAGGAAGTTTGCGAAGTCTGAGAGTCCGTGAGAGCCTCCATAACTGCAACTTGAAAGAAAATTACAAGCTTTTGAAGACAGTTATGAAATAGTGATTGTGGGATTTCACCCATTTCAAAGCCACTTAAGACGACTTCTCCGTGTTCCAAGGAATTAGGCATCCTTCGCCACGGTTTATATGCTAGGAAATTGAGGGTGCCTAAGTGTTTGTTTTTCTGAGCTGGGATAGTAGGGCTAAAAATATGCTTAAAGAATCTGTCTGTGTCATGCTGTGTGAAAATGGAATTGCTGCTTCCCTGAGTTGTCATCTCCTGAAGTGAACTTAGGTCTTCATAGGATCTGCCAAGCAGAGCTTGGATTTATTCATAACTAGGGAAGTAATACTGATCAGATTCCAAGGGAGCTCAAGTGGGGGGAGGGGGTGCTTTTACAGCTGAATGAAAAATAAAGCAGTTCTGGATAAGCTTGAAACAAAACAAAATGTGTGTTTCCAAAACATAATTGTTTTTGCTAAAAATATCTTTCCTCTTGAAATTCTTGGTCTTAAAACCAAAATATTTGTTATTCTCTGAAAGAACGTTTTCAGTGAGCTGGAGCAAAAGAAATAATTCCAAGTTCATTGACAGGAAGACACACTGCGGAGGTATATATTACATTAATCGTCTCCTGGTTTGAAGGAGACTCGGGTTGGAGGTGTCATAGCAGTCTCTGGTATTTGTTGCTTCTAGAGTCTTGAGCAAACTTGATAAACTTTTCCTCCAGGATTCTTCATTTATTTTTGGTAGTGCTTCTTCCTTGATCCCCAGGTACCTACTCTCTCCCAGGCTCTCTGTCAGAAAACTTTTAACTGTAGCACCTCATTCTGGAGCATTTCCCCAAATGACCTTATCTTCTTTTCCTCTCACCTCCACATCCCAGACCGTAGACCCAGACCATTAAGTCAAAACTTCCTTGCCTACAATGGGATTGTATTATTAGGAAAAGAGCTGATCATGAATCAGTTTGTATTAAAGTGTGACTGACTGATGCATAAAAACATTGGCAGCATTTAAATGAATTCTGATAAAGCAAGGGTTTATTAATGCAAATAGATCAGTAGCATGTATGTTGTTATTTTTGAGGAGAGGACCTTCCACATGATCCTTGCCTGAGAAAGATCTTCTGGGTAGAATGTGGGGTGGAAGTCTGCTCATACATGTGTTTAAATGTTACAGTTACCTTTAATTTGCTGGTTCCCAACAGCATTTACTTAAGTTTACTAATATGCTATGTTTAGAATGTCACATCCCCTTTCTCCTACTCCTGGGTCTCTTAATGCATTGATGCCAATCGGTCTTTATCTCTGGCATTTCCTGATAGCTTGCCTGCTGTGTATCCAGTAGGCATTTACTCTTGTTACATTCCCACCAGGCTCTAAGTAGGTGGGGGAGAGATGTAGCAAAATGAGGGTGTGACTCTTGAGAGTGAAAGAACAACTGGGTGTACCATTTATGGAGAGGACTCATACCTGTGAAGGTTAAAAAATGACTGACTGATGGTGGTAAGGATCCAGAAGTGAGGGTTGTTTAGCATTGGAGTTCACAGGGTGGTTTGTTTTAGGAAATCAGCTTCCCCGGAAGGTGATTTGAGGTTCACAATAAAAGTCAGACTACATTCCAGTAGCATCAAATTGAATATAGGTGTAGATATTTTGCTTAGGAATGTCAAAGAGTAATTGCTTTGTTCTCATTTCATTTAAAAAGGTATTTAGGAAATGCAGGTGGGTCTTCGGTGCAGGTCACAGAGAAATCAAATCTGAAGTATTTTATTTTTCAGTACTTGTTTTGAATAATGATACATCATTAACTGAGGTGTTTTATACATTTCGAGGTATTAGAAGACTGAATAGGAGTACAAACAAATCATCAGAATTCAGGTAGGTAGCTCTTAACTTTCAATGTTCTATCTTCTCAGTTGAGGTTTTCCTGTACCCGTGAATGTGCCCTCTTACATTTTAATAAAGAACATAAAAGAGAGGGATAGATGAGATGCCTCGCTCCTATAGTATTTCAAGGCTTTCCTTCTTATTTTCCAGTTCGAGAAAAATTACAGTGATTGTGATCTTTAGCTTATATTGCTCCTTGCTTCACTTATATGTATTTTTTCTAGTATAACAACAGAAATATCAGGCCTTCCTTATCAATATCAGGCCTGTATTTTCATTAGCCTCAACATCACCTGTAAATGAGTGATTTGGGGGAAGAATATCTGAGTCAGCAAGAATCTATCCTGACAGGATAAGAAAAGAACAGGTTCTACTAACTTTTTGGTTGGACTCATTCCTAGGAGATAAGGGAAGGATAAAGGAGCCCCTGAAAGGAGGCTCTCAACCCTTGCACTGCCTCCTATGAAAAGCACATGGTTCAAGGGGGTTGGGGACTAGGGGTGGGAGGGGCAGATGACTGCTGAGCTCCATTCCAGTTTTTCACATTCTGTGATTCTAGGTGGTTAGGAATATTGACTTAGAGCAGTCCACAAACTTTTTTTTCTTTTTGATAAGATCTCTGTTGGGATCTGTTTTTAGAGTCACTAGTCTGAGTTAACCATACTGTATTTTAGGGGGTATTTGGAGAAGGAAATGGCAACCCACTCCCGTGTTCTTGCCTGGAGAATCTCAGGGACGGCAGAGCCTGGTGGGCTGCCATCTATGGGGTCACACAGAGTCGGACACGACTGACATGACTTAGCAGCAGCAGCAGGAAATTCTTGTTTTCGCAATGGGAAAAAGGTGATTCCCCTCCCTGAATACGCCCAAGTGAAAAAATGACCCAAGAAGTGATTATACAGCAACGCTGATTTAAAAGGTTAGAATTTGAGGGGGGGTGGGGAACAGTAGTGAGAGATAGGAAATGGAAGGGAGGGCCTGTTAAGTAGAGGCATTTATTCTGTGAAAAAACAATATATACATCAAATTTCAGATGAAATCTATTGAGCAGGTGTTTCTGATGATAGTCTTTGGAGGGTTCTTCTTGCATTTGGTAGCAGGAAGGACTCCCAGAGATGCCTCGTTGTTGTCGCTAAGTCGTGTCCAGCTCTTTGCTACCCCATGAACTGTAGCACGCCAGGCTTCCCAGTCCTTCACTGTCTCCCTGAGCAGGGAGGATTCCCAGAGATGTCTTGGCTTCCTTTTTTTTTTTTCCTTTTTGCCTCTGTTTTGCCAAAAGTTTTTATCTGTTCTGATTTTAAGGTTGGGTGCTTTCTGTCCATTAACATAAGGTGGGTCGTTTGCAGCTAGCTGGTTTCATTTCTGGTTTTGTACAGGCAGCAACCAGCACTACATGATATAGGTTGCGTTAATTTTTTTTTCTTTCTTATTTACCAGTGACTGGTTCATTAACCAGACAGCCGCAAGTGCTGAACAATAATGGGCTTTCTGTCCCTATAGGATGGTCTGCTTTGTTCTGAAGTGCCACTGAGAGAAGCTTACTCTGTAATAACAAAGAAACCCAGAAATAGTATCTTCTTTGATTGAAAATAGACATGTGATCTTTCTTTTGTTTATGATTATAGCAGACTCTAATTTACCTATACTAATGATGAGGATCCATGCTATAGTTGACCTCAAAAAATTGTTTCATTTTGGAATTTCTCATGATTTTTCTGAACACCAGACTGTTTTTCTAATAAGTATTTTATTTAGACTGATAGTTAATTGAATTTTAGCCCCTAGTAAAAGGGGGTGGATAATTTATAAAAGGACAAAAAAAAACAAACAATAATAAATCAATGGATATATACATTTTTACTCATTAATAATAAAAAATCTAATATAAGTGGCAGTGAGTTACTAATTTCTGCTTATTAGGTTTTTAAAAATGATAGTATTTAATTCTGGGCCAAATATGGAAAATCTGGTGTATGGTTAATAGGAATATGAATTTGACAACCTTTCTGGAAACTAATTTGACAACAGTATTGATACTTAAAAAGTTACTACCTTTTCAAGGGCTGGGAGAAATGGGGAGTGATTGCTAACCGGTATGGGGTTTTTGGGGGGGGGTGATTAAAATGTTCTAAATCAGATGATGATGATAGTTGCAACTCTGAGATACCAAAAAACACTGCATTTGACTGTTTAAAAGGTGTATTTTATGGTATGCAAACTGTATCTCTGTAATGCTGTTAAAATAGTTAATGGTTTTTGACCTAGTAGTTCCATTTAAAGTAATCATAAGGAAGGTCAGATTTATGCTCAGTGATACAGAGTTCAGCTTTATTTTATTACATCAAAAATTGGAAGCATCTCAGTTCAATTAGGGAAAGGTTTAAAAGTAATTGTATCTGGGTAATTATCCTCAAGTTGTGCGTGCTTTGCTGGTGATAAAGGAAAACATATCTATGAATTTTTAAATGAAGGAGAACGTTTTTAAACCAGGTATCCTTCCATGGAGTATTTTATATGTGAATATTTTTTTAACTGAAGGGAATAATCTCTCGCTATTTTGGGATATGTGTGTGGATAATGAGTTGTTTATTTTTT